GCGTTCATTTTTTTATCGCGCGATTAACGGTCTTTTTGGCCTAGCAAACTTTGTAGTTTTTTTCACATGCTTTTGCAACAGGACTCGGCATGGACGTTTTGAAAGCGCAAGCGGATCTAGCTAGACCGGAAACAAAACAACAGGCACGCCGCACACACTTGTTTGGGCTTGCGAGCCGGATGCGCGAGCGCGAATCTCTCTGCTCGAGTCGCGCGCTCTCAGATACACGCTGCTCTTGTAAGAATTTTCTCTGGGCTCGCTCAGAGAATATGCCTGCACTTAAAACGTGTTCAGTGCAATCGCGAATCTCTCCTCTTCCCTAGCTAACAATTTTAGGTTATAAGAACGTTTTCATAACGTTCCCATTAAGTTATAAAAACGTTATCTGAATGTTATAGGAACGTTCAAAACATCCAGTTTTGAGTAGATGACGAGCGCGAGACACCGAAATGGATGCCAATAAGATTCTGAATGGAAAGTTTACTTTTAAAAAGTTGCCAAATGGGTCCATTGACGAGACCAAAGTGATCTGTGTGTTTTGTCGTTGTGAACTGAGCTATCATCATCGCAGCACGTCCAGTCTGAAACACCACTTGATGATGGCACACACACACACACACACACACACACACACACACACACACACACACACACACACACACACACACACACACACACACACACACACACACAGCTGATGCGAATTCTCCGCCCCCTCGTCAATATCAGGACCTCGTCTGTATTTCTTTCACCCTTTTATTGATGGACAGTGTTACATTGTGTGAGAGATTATTTGCTCCAAGTGAGAATGTTAGTGTGAAATTGAACACAGTATATGTCAATGTTGTTCTCAATAAAAAACATTTGCACAAAGCAAGCCGATCCACTTTTCCATGTTGATAAGAGCATTAAAATGAGAAAAAATAATGGGACAAAAAGAAATCAAGAGGCATTTAGAATAGATAAAAATGTGCGATTAAATGCGATTAGTCGCGAGTTAACTATGACATTAATACGATTAATCGCGATTAAATATTTTAATCGTTTGACAGCACTATTAAATATATTTCCTGCAATTGTCAGGCACAAACGCTTCCCCCATTCATCATATAAATAAAAATACAATATTTAACTCTTATAGCTGCATAAGTTTCACAGATTTTCACTTTAACCTGTAGGAGGAATTTAATACAGCACTGACGTCCTTACAAAACAAGCTCAAACATGGAGAAGAAGTGAAGAACAAGTTTGATGAAACAATTGAACACATCACGGTGAGGATGTATAAAGAGTTAAATACTCAACATTCACACACAGAGTTTATTATGGACATTAGTGGAGTGTGTGTTCATACAGAGCTGACTGAAGTGAATGTGATTTGATTTCAGTCTCAAGCTGAGCACACAGAGCGTCAGATTAAAGAAGAGTTTGAGAAGCTTCATCAGTTTCTCAGAGACGAAGAAGAAGCTACAATCACTGCACTGAGGGAGGAAGAGGAGCAGAAGAAGCAGAGGATGAAGGAGAAGCTGGAGGAGATGAACACACACATCTCAGCTCTTTCACACACACTCAGAGACATGGAGGAGATGATGAAAGACAATGACGTTTCGTTTCTAAAGGTGACAAATCAATCTGGCTTCATTCTCTGTGCAGAAAACAACTTGTATAGAGAGACTCATTGACAGTGAGAGTGTTTGATAAGATATTAAAATGTTTTCAAACTCTATATTTTCCAGAACTATAAAGTCTCGATGGAAAGGTAAGTGAGCTGCTCGTATCTCTTCTCTCAGTGGATCTGAACTCAAATTCACTGCAGTTCTGACTCCTGAATGTTCCTCAGAGTCCAGATCTCACAGCCGGATCCACGGATGAGTTCTGGAGCTTTGATTCATGTGTGGCGTTATCTGGGTAACCTGCCGTTCAGAGTCTGGAAGAAGATGCTGGAAACTGTCCAACACAGTGAGTCTCGGCAGATTTCACACCAGTGCAGAAGATAGTTCAGATATAAACACACACAACATTATACATATTATAACATTAATATGTATACAACGTTATATATATATATATTAAAAATCACTTGAATTACTGAAGTGTATTAAAGTAAATCATCAGATCATTCAGCGAACTCATAATAAAAGTCTATTCCTCATGATCTATGTTTATGTATTGGGATACAATAGTGTTTATTAAATACTGATATTAAACCTGGAGCCTCAATCCATTCTGACAGTAACTGAGAGACCATTGTTATGACAGCATGATTTATGATTTCTTTCAACAAAGTCTTTATTTGTGTTTTAACTTTCTATAATCATCATACAGTATTTGATCCTCTAATCTGATGTTATTCTCTTTGCAGCTCCGTTGACTCTGGATCCAAACACAGCAAATCGTCGTCTCACACTCTCTGCTGATCTGACCAGTGTGTCGGTCAGTGATGAAGATAAAACACTTCCTGATAATCCAGAGAGGTTTGACTATTATCCATGTGTCCTGGGATCTGAGGGCTTTAACTCAGGAACACACTGCTGGGATGTGGAGGTTGGAGACAATACACGCTGGGGTCTTGGAATAACCACAGCATCAATCCAAAGGAAGGGAGAGGATTTCTTTAACTCTAATGTCTGGTGTGTGTGGTTCATAAACAGCAAATACAGCTCAAAATCCCCAGAGCAACCCGGCACTGTCTTTACTGTTAAACAGAAGCTCCAGCGTGTGAGAGTTCAGCTGGACTATGACAGAGGAAAGGTGTCATTCTCTGATCCTGTAACTAACACACATTTACTCACATTCAGGACATCCTTCACACAAACTGTCTTTCCATTCTTATGTAATGGCTGCACAACTCCTCTGAGGATCTTACCAGTTAAACTGTTTATTACAGCAGAAAATCACAGTTAAATCTGATTCTGCTTCTAATACAGTTTTGCACATTATGCTTCAATAATAACACTGTAATCAAAGGGTCTCATTGATCAATTTCAAATTTAGAGCCAACTTAACCCTTGTGATTCCTTAAGGACTTTTTTCTCTAATTTTTAATTTTTTTGGATAATGTTTACTTTCCTTGTATAAATCCTAATGTATATTTCCCCCTCATTTCCTTTCATAAATCACCGGGTACATAAAATAATTACACTCAAGTTTGGACCTTAAGGACAAAAATGTCTCCATTGAAACTCATTAAAACGGCCAATTCATTTTTTTCCCAGAGCAATTTCACTATTAAATGATTCAGTCTTTGTTAAGGCCAGGCTTTAAGGCTTCTTCCCTGTTTTCTGCTTCTGCATATTAGGGTCAATCGGATAAAATATTGTGTAATAACTGTGTGTATGTACTAAAATAATAGTGTTTTTGCATGTAATATTTGATCAAGAAAATGTCTACTGTACTGTAAATTACAAAGTAATTATTATTATAAATTCAATACTTAAGTAATTATTAATCAAGTCTTACAATAATTAAACTGTTTAAATTCACATTTACAAGATAAAGTGTCGACATATTTTAGTAATCTACTTGCCAGTGAAATCCTCATATGTTCATATGTATATTATCCTATAACTCGAGCTCTGGAAACATGAATGCACTGTGAGCCCAGCAGCGGTTTATATTCATGCATAATGATTGACAGAATAACAAGACAAACTAAATCATTTAGTTTACTTTAACTAACCGTTATTTAAAAGAGTTTGACAATGTTTATATTTTTTATACTTATATATATAAAGCCCCACACAAGATGCAAAATTATGGAATTAAATGGATTTTAAGTACAAATTTGATTGTTTTACATGTACTGTAAATTTGTTGTGATTCTGTGAAATGTGTGCAATTGTTGCTCCCTTGTAAAAGAGATTTGAATATCTCAATGGGACATCACCTGGTAAAATAAAGGATAAATAAAAACAACAACTAATGTGACAAATATACAGTAAGTCATAATAACATAAATAGGACAAAATGGCCATTGATGATGTAACAGGACCTGTTCTCAGCACCAGTGACTGCAGTGCATGCTGGGATTTGGTGAAAAGAAATACTAGTAATGACTTGTGCAGTTGCTCTCTGGTTATGATACGCTTCTCATATCAAGAGTCAACTGTAGGATTTTCTCTAAAATATACTCTAGCCCCGAGTCAAAAGTACTTTGATGAGGAACTTGATGATTATGGAGCTAATTACTTAAAATACAATTTATCATCATGCAAAAACACAAAGCACAAGAATTTTTGTGTCAGGTTGTTACATGGTAGCGACGATCCACCAATCAGAGAGCTTCCCGAATGTCAATCGATTTTTTGATTGGTTAAAATGGAGAATATCTCGTTTTTAATTTAAAAAAAAAAAGATTAAAATAAGTAAATGAGTGAATAAACACGTGCAGTATAACAGTGCAGTATTATAATATGGTAATGATGTAACTGCATAAAATAATATTTTGAGCAATGATCTTTATACAAGAAATTTTAAAATATAAGACTAACTTAAATAAAATCTATAAAAGTCTTTTAAAATTAGGATGGGGTCCCTTTCATGAAGATAATCAAATGTAGGGTCTCAAAGCTTGAAAACACCCACATTAGACAGTAAAAGCATTAATTTACTTGATATGAACACATTCTCCTGATAATAGTGAGACGAATAACTGACAAATATCACTTGGTCATTCCAGTTTAATATTTATTTTCAAAAGGTTCTTAATAAAATAGAAATTAACAAATCGAAAAAAGAAAATCTTTTAAAAAGCAACATTAAAAATCACAATCTACTTAACATTGTAAATTTGCTGTGAGTTCAACAAACTGATAAATACACGAGAGGTTCACTGAGCGCTGGACGACCACCACAGAACGCCAAACAACTCCACAATTTACACATGTACACTTTCTTTTCAAAGACCCAAAAAAGGAAACCGGTGGAAAGAGCGGTGGATTCGGTGCCGAGGGCGAGGGCGACACCTTCTCTTGAAGCAGCGGTGGACACCTGTGGATCACACACAGCAGAACCTGTGGAAGCGGTGTAATCCTCACACCAACAGTGAGACGAACAGTGCATTAAACCGGTCCAGATGCTCGGGATCCCTCGGAGACTCGGCTCTCAGCACATCTCCGCATCCTCCATCTTCATCATCTTCTTAGGGGTTCCTGTGAATGAGTCCTGCAGGACGAGAGGACACGCTCAGAAACAATTCAAAACCTCAAACTCTGACTGAAAGTGGTACTGACGCGTCTCAGAGTCTCCATGCCTATCCGTGTCTGTGCAAGTGGCACACTATAGATGCGTTACAACGGCAGAGGACAAATAAACACGCTTTTTCAGACCTTTGATCTAACAGCTAAATGATCTGTTGTCTGTAAATCTGCTATTATGCGTTTTCCATTTGAATTAAGGTTATTTTTCAGACCCCTTTGTCATTGGACTACTCTAGTAAAAGCTTCTTGATTTAGGAATTTTTAGATATTTGGACTGGAAACAAGACAGAAATACTAAGTAAGAAAAGCATTTTAACAGTTATTTGTAAATATAGTTATTTTCTCTGGCAGACAAAGAGCTTTCCTTAGTAAAAAATGTGCACCTTGAATTTATTCAATTGTGTTCGACGATCACTGAACGTTTGCCATGAAAACACTCAGCTTGTTTGATAAATGTATTTGTAGAATTTTTTTCCACACTCATCCAGTCCTGGAAATGACTAAAACCAAATCTCCATACTTCTCCAAACTGCGTAGGAATGCTGTATGCCATGATATAATGAGGTTTTCACAAAATTCTGGACATTTTTTAATCACACAGAAAAGGTGTATTCCGGGTGTGTGTGATCTGATGTGCGCCCGTGTTGGGAACTGGGAATCTCACCTGCGTCAGGGACAGTGGTGCCGCGTCGGCTGTGGGACACTGGGATTCGGGATCCGCAGAACACTCCACGTCCAACTCGAAGTCCATGATTTCACCCAGGTCAATCTCCTCTCTGACACAGAAACACAACACTGAGTAAACCAGCACTGGAAACACACTACACAACATTAACCCTCTAGGCGCCACGGTCGAGTTTACTCGACAAGATGCGGCACTGAATAAAACGCCCGATTTTGTCAAATTGGGTGTCAAATTTCGTTCGACTCAAAAAAACGTCATGCTTCTATACAAAATGTTCGAGTTAGAGCGCATTGAATCAGTGCAGAGCTAGTGTGCGAGAGCCATTTTTATTAGATCCTCTCCACAACCGCGGCGACAGTATTGTGGTGGAGACTTTATCTAATGTCACTGGGTATGTTAGACGAGGTCGAGGTATTCATAGGACAGTTAGGGGGCGACGTGGAGGCAGGGTGAGGAGTCGCAATGACAATGACAGTAGTCCGAGCTGTGCACACTCGATCTGGCCGCGCTGCTCTTATCATCTCACTCATGATCTGGGCCTTGCCGTGGCGAGTGAGCGTTTGAACTAAACAGGTCTTGTCTACTTGTGTTTGTATTAGGGATGCTCATTTCGGTTAATTTTCCCGACCGACAACCGACACTCGTTATCCGATTATTAACCGTTAACTGATAAGATTATAATAGCCTATTAATTTAAATAAAAATAAAATTGAGTGTCTGTGACCCGTTTTCCCCCCCACAGGTTTATTTTAACGTGCAAACAGCAGAGCAGATCAACAACAGAACCTGGATTCACATTCAATTTTCACGCACTTGACAGTGACAACAGAATAAAATAAAATAAATAAAAAACATAAAATTGTGTAGGCCTATTTTATGTTTTTTCTTTATTTTATTTCTTAAATAGTTAACAAATTAAGATGACAAAAAGAAAACACTGAATCCGTTTGAAGCTTTGAAAAAAATGCAATTTTCCCCCTCCAGACTAAGTTTTTTCGTCAAATAAAAATAGCAGGCCTACCTCAATCCACATATTGTCTAGTTTTTATTTAAAAAAGTAACATGTCTACATGATGTGGGGTTAGTCTGGAGCGCAGCCTGTTGAGTTCGACCCGCGGCCGAAAACACATGATCCGATGGCACAGATGTCCCGGGAATACAGAGATAACGTCTCGCTAGAATGGCCAGCTTCGTGAAGCGACTTTCATTTGCTTGTGGATGTTTGCCTCGCAAGATATATTTGCATTTAACTTGTAACTACTGCTGTATTTTAATACCGCGTAGCATATTTTGCAAGTAACTTCGTCGCCCTTTCTGTCGAGATGGTCCCACACAGTAGGCTACTTCTTTTCGCTCGCTCGCTTCATTTTGCTTGCTCAGTGAAATATGTCTCTAGGCACGTGCGGTTGCGCGTGTCGACGCGCCCAGTGAGTTTACAAATATAGGCTATATAGTATTTTTTTTAACCATGCAGCAAACTAAATAAATAAAAAAATAAAAAATAAATAACTTAAACCGTTTAACTGATAGTATTAATCGGTCAAATTTTTTACTTTCGGTTAACGGTTAAACGGTCAATATGAGCATCCCTAGTTTGTATGTCATATGAATAATATTTATGTGCCCCATACATGGAATCAGAGTGCCTACTGTATTTAGCAAATGGAAAATCTCTACAGCAAAAGGCAACCACTACATGCATTCGGATTGTTTCTACCATTTATTAGTAATGATTTGCACAGTTTGTTTACTACTTACTATATACCTGAGCATTCAGTATTGTGCAATATAGCATACAGAAGGTGATGGACATTTTGGGGGGAAAGAAGTGCTGCATTTTATCATTTAAACATGTGACTTTTCATGAAAATTCTATAATCCAAGATTGCCGCCACCATATGCTAATTAGATAGGAAAATGTAATCCCTACATAAACTTTGGGTCATTCTTAATATTTCTCTAATTTACAGAAAGTCTCTATCTTTTATCACTTTTAAGATATAGCCTTTTGACCTTAAGATGTCAAAATCGAACGTTTTAGGAAAAAACCTCTGGTGCCTAAAGGGTTAATCCTTGTTACACCTCTGTGCTGAACTATACAATGAGAATAAATCACTCGCATATGAGACTAAATAATAGGGGTGTAACGATACACGTATTGAACCGTTATATATATATATACACATACAGGTGGAACTCGAAAAATTAGAACGTGCAAAGGCTATAATTGTGATGATTATGGTGTACAGTTTATGAAAACCCCAAATTCAAAATCTCAGGAAATTAGAATATTACATGAAATCAATAAAAAAAAAAGGATTTTAAATACACAAATGTCGGCCATCTGAAAAGTATAATCATGCATAAGTATATAGTTATATATACTAAATATATTAGTTTCACCTTTTAATTTGAATTATGAAATACACAAACTTTTGCACAATATTCTAATTTTTTAAGTTTCACCTGTATATATACATATATATTAGTATAGCAGTTTGGAGAGTAAACTAAAAATGTTATATATACTTAATATATTAGTTTCACCTTTTAATTTGAATTACACATTCTAATTTTTAGAGTTTCACATGTATATAGTATATCAGCATGGCGAGTAAACTATAAAATGTCCTATAGCCAATGGCGATCCTATTGCTCACGGTGTGTGTGTGTGTGTGTGTGTGTAATGGTGTGTCCCCTGAGGACACTGAGGCGGGGTGTGTGTGTGTGTGTAATGGTGTGTCCCCTGAAGACACTGAGGCGGGGTGTATCTCACATCTGCTGCAGGTCTCCGGCGGGGGGGTCCCAGGCGTGCAGCTTGACCCGCCACAGCTTGATCTGCTGGTCCCACGAGCGCCGGCTGTACTTCTTAAACTTGTTTGGAGTCTTTGGATGAACGCCCGGCTCTCTCATAGGCCTAAAATAATACAAATAATCTTAAATACTGTAAGAACAAGGCTATGCGAGAGGTCGTAGGAGATTACTCGTGTGTTTAGAGACCCCTCACGCACTTGGGCACTTCTTTGATGTATCGGTCATACGAGAGAGTGTTCTTCCCGTAGTTGATCTGCTTCTGGCGCCGCACGAGTACGGCCTCGTCGGTCTCCATGTCGCCTTTAGCCGGAGAGTCTCGAGAGTCTCGGGAGTCGGAACTGGGGGACAAGAAAAGCTCGGGTTACGACTCGAGACAAGACAAGCTACACCTGAAGACACACTGCCGTTCAAAAGGTTTGGATCAGGGCGCTTTTTAATGTTTTAAAAGAACTCTTCTGCATTTACTTGATTAAAAATACAAAAACAGTAATATTGTGAAATATTATTACAATGTATGTGAATATACAGTAAAGTGTAATTTATTCCTGTGATCAACGCTGTATTTTCAGCATCATTACTCTTCAGTGTCACATGATCCTTCAGAACTCACTCTAATTTGATGCTCAAGAAACATTTCTCATTATCAATGTCGAAAACAGTTATTTACATTTTTATTTCAGGATTCTTTGATGGATAGAAAGTTCAAAAGAACAGCATTTGTCTGAAATAGTTGGTTTTGTGTTTGAAACCGCTTGCCAAAGTGAACTTTCCGGAGAAGTTCGCTCTGTCTGCTAAACCCCTTCCAGCTCCTATTGGTCCGTATGGTGATGATGTGGGTGTGGCTCTTAGGCTCCGCCCTCTTTGAGCTGTAAATCTTCTCGGATTAATTTCTTCTGGTCAGTCCGTCGAGGTCAGACACGAGATAAAACATGAACACACTGGAGAGGCACTTTATAGTAGAAAATGTTGTAATTCTAATTGAAAGTGACAGTTATTTTACACGTTTAATACTGTAAAGCTGCTTGATTTTAAGCAATATGCTGTATAAAGTGCGGTATAACTACACGTGATGTGACTGGAGTGCCTCTCCAGTGTGTTCATGTTTCAACCTCAACGGACTGAACACAAGAAATGACCTCAAAGAGGGCGGAGCCTCAGAGCCACACCCACCTATGACATCATCACCATTCGGACCAATGGGAGCTGGAAGGCTGGAACTCTCCTGGACAGTTCACTTTAGCAAGCGGTTTTGAACTCCCGAAACAAACTTCGTTATGGCCTGAATTTTGCATGAAATGATGTCACACGATTTCATTCTTAGATTTTGCTTAAAGTAAATAAAAAATATCCCCCCCAAAACACCTGCCATTGTTCACTAAACACACCATTGTTTGAGCCGATGTTCCCGCATTGTTTTGAAAGCACACAGTCTTAGTGATACGCTCTTCAGGGGATCAGCAGCAGAAAGGATTTTAACATGGGAAAGTGTCACCAGCTTTTTGGAGACTCAAACACAGAAAATGTTACAATCACAAACCTTCCAGATGAGAGTTTTCTGTCTCTTTGAGGAACATCTACTGCAAGAATCCTCCTCCTGTATCTGGAAAAGAGAAATCTCCAATTAACGGCTTATCAATGACGCCTGTACATTCATATTAACAAATCAAATTTATATTTAGCCCAGAAAAATGGTCATGCATGTAATATGAATCTGATTTGATTGAAAAGCATGAATGCAGCGAGGCAACGGACCGGTGCACGTCGCGCCGCACGTCTGAGCGCATCTCCTCGGCCTCCACCTCGTCACCCCAGTTCCTCACTCTGGACACCGGGCCCTCGCTCTCCGGGGTCGTGAAACTGCACACACACACACACACACACACACACACACACACACACACACACACATCACGTCAGACCTGTTCAGTGAGGACCAACTGAAGGGAGTTCACACAAACATGAACATTAGCCCATGATTTACTCTCCCTCAAGACATCCTAGGTGTTTATGAGTTTCTTCTTTCAGACGAATACAATCAGAGTTTTATTAATATCTGTGTGTCGAGCCAATGCGTGTATATTTTGTGAAAGAGTGATGTCATCGCCACTGCATCACGTGACAGCGGACTACATGCTTGTGTTCGTTACTGAGCCTCTTATATTTCTTTATTTATATTTTCTTATTTCTATGATTCTTGTCTGATTAAGACGTTTCATATTTTGTATCATAAATACATATGTATATTGTTCAATAAAGTTCTTGGTTAAAAATAAATGTTTCCTGGCAGAATTACAGCGCCACATAATGGTTTGGCATGTATACTACATGTGAACGCAGAGATTTCTTGAGACGATGCCGTGTTTACAGAATTTGTATTTATTTTAGAACGAGGGGGAAAAGATCGGATAAGGAAAGCTCTGGCTTCGTGTGGAAGTGGCCTCAGGGGTCAGAGGTCACTCTTCCACAGGAACTACACCCGCGTACGGCCATTACCAGAAGACAGTGATTATAGTTTAGAAAATTATAAATATGGATATTTTTCTTACAAAAATGTATCGCTTCACTTCAGATAGCCTTTATTAGAGTCGTGTGGATTACTTTTATGATGGACAGATGCACTTTTGGACAGATGCACTTTATGCACTTTTATGATGGACAGATGCACTTTATGCACTTATGATGGACAGACGCACTTTTATGATGGACAGACGCACTTTTATGATGGACAGATGCACTTTTATGATGGACAGATGCACTTTTATGAGGAATAGACGCACTTTTATGATGATAGATGCACTTTTATGAGGAATAGACGCACTTTTATGATGATAGATGCACTTTTATCATGGATAGATGCACTTTTATAATGGATAAATGCACTTTTATGATGGACGGATGCACTTTTATGAGGAATAGATGCACTTTTATGAGGAATAGATGCACTTTTATGAGGAATAGATGCACTTTTATGAGGAATAGACGCACTTTTATGATGATAGATGCACTTTTATGATGGATAGATGCACTTTTATGATGGACAGATGCACTTTTATGATGGATAGATGCACTTTTATGAGGAATAGACGCACTTTTATGATGATAGATGCACTTTTATCATGGATAGATGCACTTTTATAATGGATAAATGCACTTTTATGATGGACGGATGCACTTTTATGAGGAATAGATGCACTTTTATGAGGAATAGATGCACTTTTATGAGGAATAGATGCACTTTTATGAGGAATAGATGCACTTTTATGAGGAATAGATGCACTTTTATGAGGAATAGATGCACTTTTATGAGGAATAGACGCACTTTTATGATGATAGATGCACTTTTATGATGGATAGATGCACTTTTATGATGGATAGATGCACTTTTATGATGGACAGATGCACTTTTATGATGGATAGATGCACTTTTATGATGGATAGATGCACTTTTATGATGGACAGATGCACTTTTTTGGACTTCAAAACCAAAAAGGCCATTCACTGCCATTATAAAGCTTGGAAGAGCCAGGAAACTTTTTAATATAACTCAGATTGTGTTCGTCTGAAAGAAGAATGTCATATACACCTAAGACGGCTTCAGGGTGAGTAAATCATGGGCTAATTTTCATTTTTTGGGGTGAACTATCCCTTTAACTGACCATCATTCGGATGCCAGTATTAGATTAGATGCAATTTAATTAAATTAGCAAAGAGGTTAGAATTTATGCATCTGATATACTGAACAAAATGTCGAAGCAAAGTTGCCTTTCTTGAGAGAGCAGTTTTTCATGCACAGGTTATGATCAGACACTGAACGCACCTCTCGGGTCGGCGTGAACATCTCTGATCTTCCTCAGCATGAGCTTTCCTCAGACTACCATCTGCTCCGCGCTTCCTACACTGGGACCATCGGGAAGCGCCTCTGTTCCTTCAACCAAGACAAAAGACATGAGAAGCATTAAAAAAACAATGATTTTTACACATTATCTGAACATTGTACATGCATTAAAGCATGAGAATTTTATTTATTTAGTAAATAATGAACTCAATGCAAAAACATTAATCATTATACACACTTGGTCACAAAATCTGCCGTGCTATAAATATATTTTTGCACCAATAAGTTAAGCAACTTTTTAACCGAAAACAAGCTAATATTTCTGTTTAAGTTAGCCTTTGTTTCCAAGGCGCCACAAATAATCTGCTGTCAACACACACGCTGCTCACTACACACACCAGAAATATAACGACTGAATTAAACAGGCATACTGAGAGAAGTAGTTTAATGTAGTTTTCATGAATGCGGTGATAAAATCTAATGTTCTCATGGCGCCAAATAATCATTTACACCCCAAACGAAGGCGGGAGATCTCACACCTCTTTCACTAGCCGCAGAAATGTGTCCATACTTAAAAGAGTTAGGGATACATGGGGGGAAACTGGAATAAGTTAAAAGGAGTGAAAAAACACATGCTTTAATGACCCAAAATAGACTAAATGTAGCACTCCGGAAGACAATAGCTTAACGTTACTTAGTGTCTTGCTATGCTAGCAAACCGTGAATAACCATGAAAAGTAAAAACAACCACACACACACACCAAGGTTTTAAATTCTTACCTGTTTTCGTCAGGTTTGCAGTCGTTTTCGTAGCTGTATATTTGCTGTTCGGACATTTCTTCAAGTGAAAATTACAAACCGCACGTACGAACAGCAGCCGGGTTTGGATTAAACCGCGCCAACGTCCCGCAGTGTACGTCAACATCCAGGTCACGTGAGGCTTGAGGGGCGGCGCTAGTGACGTGTCTCGCGCATAGCCCCGCCCACATCCGTCGATCTTCACATCATCGGGATTGTTTATTTCTCTCAGTCTATAGTGTGTAGATCACATCAAGAGTTGAGCGCGTAAAATCGCGTAAGTGCTCTGTTTTCCGCTATAGAAAGCTATGGCGGGAATCCAAACAGACAAAGCCCTCAAAGGACTGTTTGAAGCCATATTCTCTTGAAAAAATGATATAGTTTGATCCCTATATATGGGGGTTGAAGAGTAATGTGTAGGTCATGAAGACACTGGTGGAAAACTAATGGGGCTTTCGGTTTTAAAAACTAATTTGTCTTTCTTTCATACAAGAACAACGATTCCTACTTTTGTGATCATCAGTTGAATATGGTGTCATTAAATTTTGAGATATATAGATAACCTCAGCTTTAGAGAATCAGCCCATCACAGTATTTAAGCATTAGAGCAATGTTGGGAAAATGAACTAATAAGTCTAGTTTAGTTAGTAGCCTAGTAGAGCTCTGACTGCTATTGTAGCTCATCTGGTTGTTTCATTGCTCTTAGTTGACCTCCAATCCAAGAAAAAATTATGAAGATAAACACCTTTAATTGGAAATAGTGGTTTAATAATATTATATATATATATATATAATTATTATTAAACCAATATAGCCTATATGACTGATATTTGGTCTAGGAGCAGGAATCAGGAACTAAAACATAACTGTGATCTACAGTCTATGGAAGTAAAGTAATGCCAAATGTTTTTGAAACAAAAAAAGCTTATTGAATCGCACTAATTGAAAAAAATATGCACTGCATTAACCGTGCCTGCATTTTAATGTATTGCATTTTTTGTCTTTTTTTTGGGCTGAAGTGTAGGCTATTTTTAAGATGTGAAAATAAAAACATTTCACACTCATTTTCATTATTAGAAATTCAATAATCCATATAACCTAATAAAATTCAATAATCCATATAAAAGATTTTACTTCCAAAATGATCATTCTGTTTAAAAACACACCCTAAAATATTCGACAGGCAATTTACAGTCCATTTCATTTTGCTTTGCAAATTCAGTGGTTCAAATTCGACAGAAAATTCAACATTTCACATCCGGGAACTGCAGGAATATCAATAGATTGCCGATGCGTCTCAATCAGCTCCCTATCTTCCCTAGCTGGTGAATCAGTAAATCGTGTTCACTAATGAGGACACTGGTAAGGACAGTAAAGCCCCCATGAAATCAAAATAGAAGTTGTTTGGCTTTTTGAATGTTAGCCTTACGGCTATCTATAAGCTAGTGTGCTCCAATGACTGTTTCTCAATATGCGTTCTTGTCTGTACTTGTGTTCTTGTGAAACGTCATCAGTCGCTGCCCAAGTTCTGTTCTAATTCAAAGTCCAGCCAAGTCCAGATCTAGCCAAGTCCAGTTCAAATCCCCGGATGTGTTCTGGATCCGCCTCGTTTACCGAGGATGCATCGAGAGGTGACTTGTGCGAGATGGGTATAAACGGAGGTCGGAGCAGCTGCAAATGGTTTAGCCGCAAGTGGGCTGTACAAACTTCCAGAGGATTTTGATTGGTTTATTTAGTATCACCTGTGTTGTAGTACACTGTAAAAAAAAAAGCCATTTTTACGGTAAAATACCGGCAGCTGTGGTTGCCAGAACTTTACCGTCAAAAATATGGTACAGACGTGATTGGTTTTACAGACTTAACTTAAAATTTACAGTAATAAATCGTATTTCATTATCTGATATTATGTTAATTTACCAACCTATTTATGTATTAATATCTGTTTTGCACCATTGTAATACACTGACAACCAACAATCATCACAGCAGTGATGAAAGTCACATGATAAATCAAAGCTCATCACAGGCAGCTCTTCTGCAAGAAAGTTAATACTTATATAAAGAAGCTGCACAGTGTCATTCGCACAAACACTAAACAGCATCATGGTAACACATGAATTTTAAAAATGCAATAAACATTAATTTAACAACATTAAATGTAACATAAAACTCTAATGTACATAACTGATAAGAAAAGAACTAAGAAAGCTAAGAAACAGTTATTTCAACAAAAATACATCAAATGTGAAGTGTCACGCAGGGAATTGTGGCAATGTCAATTTACAGTTTTTCACTGTAAATTATACAATGTGTTGATCTTTTTCACTTTCAAAAACTGTAAATTTAATGGTATTTTACAGTAAAATTACATTAAATGTACCGTTAGATCTATCACAGTTATTTGCCGTATATATTAAGGAAACTTTCTGTTAACCAATTAACAGTTTTTCACTGTAGCATTTTTACAGTCTTTTACCGTTAAAATCACGATAATTTTTTACAGTGTAGCTATTGGTTTATGCTCCACAGTTGGTGGCGGTAATGTGTAAGTTTAGTTGTGATCCATCAGAAAACAAAGAAGATTACCGCTTTCACGTGTCAGCGTGCCGTTGAGATGAAGGGGTAAGCTTGTTGTACAGTTTTTAGTTTTGTAAAAAAGCATTATAAGTTCTCAAAAAGACCATTTCATAATGTCGTTTGTACTAGGGCTGTCAACGAATATTCTAAATTCGAATATATATTCGAATAGTTTTAAAAAACAGAAATTCGAAGGTGAAAATTAATATTCTAATCATGTGGAAAAACAGGCGCGCGGTAGCAGAGGCGCGGCTGTCTGCTTTACGAGTGGCAAAATTCTGAAGCTTAAAATGTAAAACGCATTTTCCAGCTGCACAGATAGAACAGTGAGTGTCTGGGTCACTCATTGGCTGTGCTGCGGCAACTGCACATCCAATGGCACGGGCGCCTCCAACGTGTGCGCCAATGAGCTAGCATTACATCAGACACGTCAGAGCCCGCCAAGGGGGCGTGGCCAGACGCCCTCGAAATAGCCACAGTAGCAGGCTAGCTAGCAGCAGTTTACCCATGAAACACATTTTATTCAGTATTACAAATATTTACAGATGGTTCTAAGGAACCTATCAGTCAAAAGGTTGGATTAGGAGTATATTATATTCCACATTTTAAAAAACAGATTAGTTTGAGGTTGACTGATGAGATGTCCGTGTACACTGCAGAGTTAACAGCTATAATAATAGGACTACAGTGGGTTGAACAAGTCAGACCAAATAAAGTAGTAATATGTTCAGATTCTTCTTCAGCTTTAATTAGTATAGTACATGCAAGATCAGATAGAGAAGATTTAATAATGGAAATATATTTATCATTATACAGACTGAAAGAGGCTGGAATAGTGGTGTATTTTTGTTGGGTACCAGCACATGTTGGGTTATCTGGTAATGAAGTTGCTGATAAACTAGCAAAAAAAGCACTAGACAAGAGGGAGGTGGATGTTAGAGTACCTATGGGGAAAAAGGAGGCAAAATCGATTTTAAAGAGGAAGTTAATGAATAAGTGGCAAATTAGATGGGATAGTAGTAGCAAAGGGAGATGGTGTCATAGTATCACACAGACAGAAGGGAGGATACATTGCCAGGGAGAAAATAGGAAAGAAGAGGTATTGCTGTCTAGGTTAAGACTGGGACATACAGGGTTAAACTCAACACTGGCAATTATGGGGTTACATGAGAATGAATTATGTGATGCATGTGGTGTATCTGAAAATGTATGTCATGTATTATTTATTTGTAGTAAGTATAATATTTTTCGGGATGTATTATTCAGTCATTTAAAAAATGGAGAGGATATAATGAAGAATGAGGATATTCTAGGAAAAGGTTTAATAGACAGACAGATATATAGAGCATTAATTGCGTTTATATATGATTCAGGTTTGGGATTTAGATTTTAATATGTGTGTAACGTTGAACCCGCCATGGGGGCTGAGTGTGGACGGAGGAGCTGAACACGCAGCGCCGAATGAAGCTCAATGAAACCTCTATTGCAGGTATGATAAATAATGATGATGTATGTGGGATGATATAGTTAGACAGGCAGACAGTTTTTAAAATTCAGACGTATCACCCAAGGTTAATTTGCCATCCAGCACAGTAGGTGGCGATAATGCTCCTTAGGAGTTAATCGCCATTAAACAAGAAGAAGAAGAAGAAGAAGTTTACCCATGAGTTTACCACAGCACAGCTCGCTCGGAGCGTTCAATGTCGGTTCTATATACTGTAAAACTTCAATTAATGTTAATAATGTACTGATACTGACTATTGTAACAGTCAGCCAACAGAGGGCGCCGTTAAGCGGAGTAGCTTCATGTTGCTTGTTAACAGAGTTTGAGCAATAAAGCACTCTTGAGAATGGCAGTCTATGTGTACAGTCCAGTCAATACATGGTACCAGGAGTAAACTCGTAAAACATGAGTGTAATGAATAATATACGCCCACCTGACGAGTTGAAGCTGACGGGTAACGTCCACGCTAACTGGAAAGCCTTTAGGCAAAGTTTTGAGCTTTATTTGTTAGCCATTGGGCTTGACGAACGAAATGATCGACGGAAGATAGCTCTGTTGCTAACTGTAGCTGGTCGGGCTGCGCTGGATGTATACAACACGTTCGTCTTTTCGGAAGAGGAAAGAGACACGCTGCCCGCAGTACTGAGCAAGTTTGAGGATTACTGCACGCCGAGAAAGAATGAAACATATGAACGGTATGTCTTCAGGAACAGAATGCAGAAAGAGACTGAATCAATAGAACAGTATGTGACAGACTTGCGCCTTAAGAGTCAATCCTGCAATTTCGGCACACTGTGCGACTCCATGATAAGGGATCAAATTGTAATAGGAGTGCAGGACAAGAGAGTAAGGATGCTGTTATTAAAAGAAACAGAACTTACCATTGAGAAAGCAGTTGGTATTTGTCAGGCTGCAGAAAGTACGAAGATGCAATTGAAATCGTTTGAAAACGAAAGTGAAACTGCTGCTGTTGATACGGTGGAAAAACACAAAAAAAGATTTGATAAGCGACAGACACAAAAATCCAAATGGAAACCACAGGGCAGAGACTGTGAGAGATG